AAATTAATTTTATCCTGTCAAATTTATCATTAGCCTAAACAAATATTTTTAATGTTCTGGAAGTTAGGTGGTATTCATTTATAATATTGTTCTAATCTGGCATGTATGAATTTTAATAAAAATGACGTTTATTTTTAAATCTCTTTCGCAACACGAGGTCTACCATCCGATCAATTAAATGATAAAAAATTTTATTTGATGATTTGAAAAAGTATATTAGATTTTTTTGTTTTTACTCTTTAAACATCTGAGTCTCATATTGTTATTCTAGTTATTCTTTCTTTGTGCATAATTTGTTTATACATTCTGTTCATCCCTGCGCTCTTCGAGAATGCCGCACTCGGCTACTGATTACCCCCGTATTTTTCACGACCCTAAAGAGCTTACCTTAGCTGTCTTGGGATGCGCTAAGTCAGGAAAGTCATCCTTATGTAAAAGACTAATCCTCCCGTTGCCAGACCAATATACCACCGATTATGAACCAACTTGCGTGTATAGTGTGCAGAATAACAATCTTGTAAAAAACACGGACTGGTTTTATTGGGGATCTGTCTCCCGTAGAGTTGGCGATGACTGCCTTACTACTTTTAATATAATTGAAAGGTCGTTTACTCACACGAGTGGCATCATTTCATATTACAAATCACGCCACAATTACCAGAGTACTCTTTGTTGTGAGCTCCTAACTATCAGGCTCAAATTGCCAAAGGGTCAAATTAATTCCTCTAAAAATGATACTTTGCAAAAGCGCACTTCCTTAATCGAGTCTCTTTCTCCAACAGAAGTCGAGATAGATGGTGTTCTACTACTAGTTGATCCACAGAGCTTTCTTGATGGAAGTACAGATTTCATTTCGCACCTTGCTTCTTTTTTTATCAAAAGAAAAAAACCTTTTGTCCTTGTTTTGTCTAAATGTGACATCTCTGATCGGGAATGCTTAGCTCACGTCAAAAGTTGGCTCAAATCATCCGGTGATTTCAAAAAGGTTCCATATGTTGAGACTTCGTCTACGAAAAATATCAATATTGAGGAGGCTTTCCTTAATCTTGCGAGGCTTGTATTCTCCAAGTCACGCTCGCTTAAGCTTTGCCCCAACATCTCTTATGCTGAGGCTGTGCACGAGTATCATAAAAAACTTGTTAGTGCTCGTGAGGCTTTTAAGAAGCGTCTTTCCTCATCGACTGCTGAATATTTGAAAGATTGGTCGACTTTTTATCATCGCTTTAGCCATCAAGCAGATATCGCAGGCTATGTGGACTTGGTTGGTACAAAAAAGGCAGCTAAATTCTTTGAGGATCAAGTTTTGGAGTTAACTAATCTATTACGGCATCGGTATCTTGATAAAATTCCCAATGCTTTGCTAAGGCTACTTCCTTCATTTGGCAGAGTTCGAAACAGGTAGTTTAATTTTAATTATTTGATTTTATTAACTCTTATTTTGTAATCAATTTCAATGTAAAACAACGTCATAATATTCACTTCATATATACTTCAATAATCATTTACTATTTTTATTTTGAGATCTTATTACATAATGTATGCATATTCTTGTGATTAATTATTATTTATTGACTGGGTCAATGCCATTTATTTATTAACTAAGCCTCATTTTTGTAGGTCATTTCCTGAAATAATTGCGCTGCTGCGTAGCCATCCGTGCTTTCATGAACTTTTCATTGATGATTATCTTGAATTCATTTACTTGCTAGTTAAACAAAAAGATGATCTTGATGTTAATGTAAGTTATTTAGCTGGTATATTTCCTTCAGATAGATCTGCTTTTAAATTTAAGTCATCAACTTTATCTTTCCTCCACATTTTAATCCTAATTAGTTTTAGAATATTAATTTATTCTTGTAAGTAAAGACTTGTCGTAAATATATTCATTTGCTTTATGTTGAAGTTTAAAATTGTGATCATTATTGCATTAAATATGTTTTTAGCTTAAATTTCTTTATATATGAATGTCAAAAGTGTGCAATAACTTTTTTCCGCATTTTGCCTCCATTTCATTTTTTATCTGGGAAGTTATCCTGTCAGCTTTTTACAATGTAACGCTAAATATTAAAGTACAGCCTTGCAAATCAGCTTGGGTATAATTATATTAAATGCCGGAATGTTCGCTTCGTTCCCGCTTAACCAGTGTTATATCATTTGGCCATATCCTTTTTGATGACATTGATACGCATCTTAGATTTAACGTTTAG